GTCTTTTTATTTGAGAGATAGACAACGTGACTTATCATTTCATCCTTGTTATTAAATGAAAGGCAGAAGATTGTGAGCTCCAGGCTCAGCACAGAGATGGTTTATCTATTTATTTATTTTTATCTCATCGTTTTCATAAATTTCAATCAGAGATCACATAGACTTTGATTTCTCAGAAACACAATCCTGGATCCACACAAGTTAGCTTTAAGCTGATAGAAACAAGGACCTCGGTCTTCGGTACAAAAACAAATCTCAACAAGAACAAAGCAGGAAGTGAGGTCAGGAGGAAGCATGCTTTGCACAACAAGTAAACAAATGTAGATTAATTATTTGTTTTAAAAATGCTTCATGGCAATAAATCTACTATTATACTGAAAGCATTAACATGCCTTTTACGTGGTGCCACATTTGTAAGGAACAAGCAGTTGTGGGATGAGCAGTAGAGCTGAGTATGTGAGTGTACTTTTTGTTCTCAAATTTCTAATTATAATATATTAGTTGTCTTTTTTACCATGTTCTATTGTGTACATGTTAGATTATTAGCAAAACATTGTTTTATGTCTATATTTATACTTTATTGACCTTTATGTGTTGTACTTTAAGCAACGAAGCATCTTAAAGTTTTAGGAACTTTTGAGTGAAAGTAGATTCTCACAAGAACATTTTTGAAAAATAGTTTTACATTACAATTGATGGTGCAGTGGATTTTAGAATAATGCTGGGAGTTTTTACTCAATCAAAGCTTTAAATGGAAAATACAAAACCTTTTCATCTTGTTGTTTGGTCGTATGACACCTGTGAGAGATGTTAAAAAGGTCCACACCCAAAACACAAAGCTAACTTTTGCTTCTTTGTGCGTCTCCCACAGAAGAAAACACAGCAGATGTATTTAAGTTTTCCTTTGCAGAACTGTGTTCAACATTTAATAACTTTCAGAGACAAATCATATTATCTTACAGATCAGTTTTTAAAAGCAACCTTTCATTCAGTTTGTCACATGTGTTTCATGACTGAATGTATCATGGGTGTCAGATGTAAAGGTACCATTATTACAGTCTTAAAGTGCCTGTGACGTGCATGTCCTTCATATACAAAAAGTCAAATAAAACATATTTTTTTTCAAGAAACTTGACATAATATACTCGATTTTACCCATTTTGTCACATAACTGGCATGTTCCCCTTTGAATTTGGAGGTAATTAGCCTTTATAGGTAAAACATTATTAAATGTGTTCTTTATAGCTCATTAAGTATGAGTCATCTTTATTTAATGATGTTTTCAAGGTTAACTAACCATTTATTTAGCCTTACTTAATAATTAGTAAAGTTTTACCTATTGTATTATTATTGCAAATAAACTTCTCACTCACTGGAAAAAATGAGMTCTTCTCCATTGAAACTGGCTTAAMCTGGTGGACACATTGCATTTAGAAAAGATGCACAATTTGTGACAGATTCTCCTCCTTTAGTGGAATTTGGACACCCATTGTGCGATTTTTACACCTACAGGGGACAGCTATGGTTCTAGGCCATTTATCAGTGTGTAGTGTGTAGTGCCTAGATGACTGGGACCAGTGTGGTCACGGGGCTATCATCTTGTGTTGTAGCCTGGTAAAAAACAGCTCCTTGTTCTACGGTTTGCTTCATACAGAGGGTCTGGCACCTCAGCTATTGAGAAGTGATTTCTTGCTGGAGGCGTGGACTCTGAAGTTTAAAACGATTGGATCTGATTTTCCCAATCGCTAACGTTTGGTCGTGACATGTAGTGTGCTAGCTCAACTGTGAAGGAAGCTACGCTAAGTAAGTAACCAGAAATTGTGTACACTGTAAACAAGCATCCCCTACTGGGAAGAGAGGAGTAGTTGGCTGTTTATGAGTGCTGCTGGCTTTATGAGACAAATTTAAATTAATTTTGAAACCTTGTCAACACRGACTGAATGGCTTCATTTATTTTCTCTGCTGACATTGCTTTTTTTTCCTCATCTTCCCTTGTGTGGTTTTTAGTTTTTCTTTTAAGGGTTGCGCCTCCTCATGATGTCTTCATGAAGATGATCCTTGCTCTGTGCAGGGTCTGTGGCTGCATGACCCAGGGCACCTGTTCTCCCATGTTTGTTCTGTCTTCTTCTGAATGGATGTTCCGAACTGTAATTTCACTGTGCTCTCTGTACGATGACAATAAAGATCTCTCTAATCTAAACTASGCAGACTAAAATGGCGCAGAAAATCAACATCATTGTTGACAGCTCCTCTTTCTGTTCAGTGGCTGGCCCGGTTGAAATTCTACCAGAGAAATTATTGTCTATGGAGGAAAGGCCAGACGGAGCACAGAAGGGAGATTAGAATTGAGCGAAACTGTGTAGGAAAGCAAGGGCCAGGCTAGTAGTGTTGTGTACTGCATTGTTTTGTTTGATCAAAATCTTATGTCACTGATCCTGTGTTAACAATTGTTCAGTACACAAAGTCAAATTTCACTTTGATTCATGGACTGTCGACTTCCTCTAAATGTTCAACATGTTGCAGCTTTGAAACAAATCATTTGCCAGAGTTAAACGACAGATCTACTGACCTGAGAGGGGAAAACATAGTCTGCCACGTCCCACACCGTCTCCCTCCCGCTCACATTGGTGTAGCCCACTCCCTTCATTTTGGTGAACACCGAGCTCACGGCTGTATCTGTGGACTGGTAACCTTTCTCATAGATGAAGACCCACCTGTTAGAGACACAGAGCACATCCTGAGTCCTGCCTCACATTCCCTCCCCAGCTCAGCCGAGCCATCCAACCCTGAAGCCAGGACTTGTGTAACAGCGTTAGCATGACGGTCCACACGGCCAGCAGCGTGTCCAACTTAAACACGTGCAGCTTGGAGGTCAGCTTGTCCTTTTACTCCCCTGAAAGGACAAATCTGACAAACTGTATCACAAAATACTCAGTGGTTTAGCAGCTGTGGTTTGTTAAAAACATGCTGAGAAATAAGTGAAAACAACTCAATATAATACATTTATCAGAATGATCAGTGATGGTGCTGATTGCTGCCTGAGAACCAAAATAATGAACTATAGAACCTGAACAATGTGTTAAAACCTTYGCTTGTCGGTTTGGTTAATGTTTGATTATGATAATAAATGGGTGTAAATTATTAAACCACTTTAACTGATGAATGCAGTCAATTTTCTACATATTTTTATCAAATTTAACATCAAAACCATAATAAACCTGTAAAAAGATAAAGACCTCTGATGCAGGATGGCATGTCAAAAACGTAAATGCAGGTAAATCTCATTTCTAGTAGTTTGAGAAACAGAAAATGTTCTGCTGTGTTAAATTTGTGTGAAAAAGTTGTTTTACTGTTTTCTCAACCAAACATTTGTTCCAAAAACCAGTTCCTGTGTGGACGGCCATTTTCCTTTTTTTTCATTCTGTTTACAATGTTTGTTTTGTTATTGAACATTTCACCACACAGTTTTTTTGCGATGAGACCGAGGTAAARCAAGATATTATATATCGGTGATGAGTAGAACATGCACAGCTAAAGCTGAGAATTTTCATGCATAATTTTCATGCATTATGGGAGATGTAGTTTACGGTCGATGCYGGCTGTAAAGCAGCTTATTTGAAGACATTATTGTGTTATGCAATTAAATTTCTCAGTTACTCAAAGCCAACAGCTCATGAGGAGGACAAGTATTATCTTTCACCTTTTAAATGTGTTTCTTTTGTTGCATTAAGTCATAAATTTAAACTTTACCATTGACATAAATACTATTTTCACATTAAATAAAAACAATATCTAAATAAGGTTGTTTTTTTTTTTGGCGGCCCAGACGGGAGTCACCTGCAGGCCACATTTTTCTCGCGGGCCTTTAGTTTGACACGTGGTTGAGAACATTAGAAAATTTAAATATAAACAACATTTTCCGTCCAGTACAGAATTTGTGGTTTTGATGTGATTTTAACTTGTGCACCAAACTCAAAACCCAAAGCTCTGTTCCAGTAAAACCTGCCGTTGTGACACGCTCACAGGGCCGGTCCCTGATTCTCGTCACACTTTTGGTGTGTGTCCAACTGAGGCTTCAGCTTTGTGTAGCTTTCTGTGACGTCCTGCAGCCAGGAGGTGCAGACACCACCATGATATACACACTGAGCTTCACACTGTGCAACATACAAAACTACTTTACATTTGGGTGTGAGAAACACACACTCCGGCTGAAAGAATGTGCGTTTCGTCACGTGATTGATCGTCCTCGGTCAGAAACATCTTTTAAACAGCTCAGGGAAATGAGTTATGCACTAAAAAGGGGAATTTCTATCAGCGGGGAGAGGAATTCAAATCCCAGCATGAATCGAATAAGACAAGAAAAATGAGTGGATTAATGAAAAAATGGAAGCGATCAGCACTGAAGTGATAGAAGAAGAGAATTGCTTCTGTGAATACAGACAGGAAAAAAACTGAAGCTCCTGCTTTACTTTGTGGCGGTTCTGCAGCACAGAGATTAGTTTTCATTTAGTGCCCAGCACAGATCAGAATGAGGAGAAAATRCATGCAGGGAAAACTCCAAGTGCTGGACTGACAGAAAGAGATCATTTAAAAAAATAAATCCRTTTTCAAGAGCATGCTGGTTATTTTTACAATTAGGTGCAGCTGATTATAATAGAACCACAGCCCACTTTACAGTGTTTACACTCTGACGTTCACACGGTTCAGATCATCCTTTTTTTTCTGGATGTTTTTCATTACAAAACATGTTACCCATTTTTTGTGCTATTTCAACAAGTCATGTATCAAAATGTTCAGCTCATTTATGCTATAGCTGCTATGGTTTTTAGGTATTTCAGCAACTTTTTTTCAGCTATTCTGCTTTTTCAATTTTTTTATTATTGAAAATGAATGGATTTGTGTTTAACATCCTTCAATTCCTCTAAAATATTTAGAATGTTTAGAATTTAAATGTTCTGGTTCTGCTTTGAGCATTTAAAAAATATTAATGTTTTTGCTAATTTAAACTTTTTCCAGCTTTTTTTAAAGCTATTCTTCTGTTAATATAAATGTTTTTATTATATCAGCTTCTTTCTGATCATTTAAGCTTTTTATGCTCCTCTTGRCTGGTTTCTGCTCATTTCAGCAGTCTTCTACCTTTTTAGCTACTTTGTAGCTATTTTCAGCTAATTTTAACCTTTTTCACATAAATTGCTAATTCAGATTATTACAGCATAATTCAGCAAACATACTCTGGCTCTGYGTCTTTGTGCTAATTTCAGCTTTTACATCTTTTTAGTTATTTTTGGTTAATTTCAGCTGCCAGAGTTATTTTACTCTCTGTTCACAGTCTGTCTGCTATTCTCAAATAGTTTCTGCTGCTGCCTGCTTTTTGTTTTCCTTTTATCAAAAGTCAACTGTTCAAATTTAACTCACATTAAYAGTGTTGCTATTAAACTTTTTCAGCTTCTTTTGCAGCTTYCAGGAAAAATCTTTCAACATTTAACATTCACACTGCATTTTAATAAGAAATGTATATTCATTCGGTTCATGTGCTTGATCATAMTAAAATCTATGCAGCCGATGATGATGATGTCATATTTAAACTCTATGGTTTTGTGTTAAAAACCCAAATCAGTGCCTAAAATACTCAAATTAAACCATCTGGTACCAGTAATGTGTTTAAAATCACTAAATCCACTTTTTCCCACACTGCAGAGCTCAGGTTGAGCTTTGAAGTCATGCTGCCATGTGATTGGCTGATTGTGTTAACGAGCAATCAAACAAGTGTGAGTGTTTCTGACTTGGCTTCTGTAACAAAACRAGTCTTTCCAGATATAAAAAGTAACAATCATCAAGAAAAAAGGCTCATCTCCTCGAACTAATAAAAACAAAAGAACTTATCRGCAGATATCAGGACGTTGCTTTTAGCTAATGTTTGGAGGTTTGTTTCTGTTCTGTTTGTTTGAAGGTCCGGTGCTGAGAAATGATTTATTTTTATGATGTTCTCTCCAGATAAATTCTTTCTTTCCTACTGAGAAAACAAGCTCCCTTWTCTTCAGATAATAGTTTCATATATTTAGTTATTTAGATTCACAACAAGCTTGTTTTTTTAGAAGCCAAATATGAATAGAAACCTAAACTCTAGTCGAGTTTTTTATTTTGCAATCAGAAAATAGCTAAKCTTTTTATATTCATTGTCTTGAAAGAATTGATGTTTTCTGGAAATGGCAGTCATTTAACCGCAGAACGGTTTGTTTTATTAAGGAAGCTGAAAAATGACATATTTATCAAGCTGCTTCATATTTTATAGACAAGTTATAAATCTTATCTTAAGCAAACAAGTCTGTTTTATTGAAAAAACACTTTTTTMAAGATATGTTTTCCTCTAAATAGCAATAGTGGGAAAAGTGAGCTATTTGTCATTTAAATTGCAGCAAGCCTTGTTTACATTTTTTATTTCTTTTATTTTGGAATAACGGGAATTTATTACTTAAAGATTATATGATGATTCACAGCCTTAAGA